AGGAATACTAACCAGGAAATTAATGTAGAAGCTGTCTAATTCCACGACTCCGCAGTACCTATCGCAGCTGTACAGCTGGGACATCACCCTAGCTAGCGCTGTGCACAGCTGAAAAAAAGGTTTCCTCCTGACTTTTCTCTTTTCTCCTTGTTTTCCTTCTTTTCTGCCATCTTTAGTATTGTTTCTGTTCACAACTTATACTATTCAACAATCATCTTTCTTAGCAATCCTAAGATTCTGCTCCAAACATGCCCTACAAAAATAACCATTCAACTCGATTAGATGAATTAGGCACATATTTTGATTGGATTCCATGCTTATTTCACTTTTACAAGCACAAAAGACGAAACCTAGTTTGAACACACTCATGTTTTCCTCCTGATCCTTGCCTCGCTCTCTATAGGGAGCCAGTTTTCACGTTTTGCGTTATTTTTTCTATTCTTGGAAGATCACACCTTAATTTTCGTCCAACAACTCATTGAGTGGACGTTCTCCTGGAGGAAATGTTGCAAGTAACGGCCAGGTGCACCACTGAAAGAATTTGTAGGAACATAGTTTTCGTTGATTTCAAAATTGGTAGTTCATGTAGTGTTCTAGTACCTGTAGACCATGTAACCGCCACCACGCCACGTAATAACCCCAAGCATAAGACGCACAGGAAGCTTCAAGTCTTCGGCGAGGAAGGTCGCTTTAAGCTCCTTAATTTCGGAATCGTCACAGAAGTCTCTTCTTAAATTTAGATTTCGTACTTGTTTTTAGATTTGAAGAATTCTATCCCTTTTCGTTCTGACAACAACCAAATAATAAGATTTGTTCCAATTGAAAAGTCCGTTTGCTGGCATTGTTAATCACCAACAAAGGCATTCTAGAGATCCTAAAAAATTTTGGCTACTCGATGAATTATACCTACATTAAATATGTGCTGCTTCCATTGTTCCTCGTCCATCCTTCTGTTGTTCTTCAATATCACTTCCGCATAGGCATCATTCATCGATAAATTTGCCCGATGGTACTTAAAATTTTCGAAATTAACACAGCGATAATTTCCTTTAAGTTAATTCACAACTACCACGGGGTTTCTGGATAGCTGTTGAATTGAATTTGGAAGCTGAGAAACTGATAAAGGAAGACTTCAACTGGTGGCTCTAAATTTTTGTTTTTTGTAAAATTTTCGTTCTGCACTGTGGTCTGATAAGGTAGCTTCCATTGCTGGCAAAGATCTTCGAGTTTTAGAGACTCGTTTCTCAATTAGCAAAGTTAACTATAAATTCGGAGATGTGTGTTTAAAGATGAAATTAGAGTTGATCAAATTACCATCCTTACAAAGTCATCCAATCATCGTCAATAGCCTAACGGTAGTGAATAGCCACATACCCTCCTAAAAAACACACAGAAACCCATATCACACTTAATTACTTCAGTTTCAGTGATTTTCATGCTGTCGGAACAAAGATGGCTCCTGCTTGTTTTTTGGCGGGAAACAACGCAACAACGCAGTGTCCAGAACTACTTGTCATCGTGTGGTTCTTTTTGAAACGAAAAACGAGAAATGGAATAAATGAATATAAAAGCAACTCACAATGAAATCGCCGTCTTCGCGTTCAAAATATTTGCAAATCACGCGGCTTTTGCCAAAGATACGAAAATTTTGGAGAAAATTAAATGTGAGAAGTCGCCTTGGATGGATTTCACAACGAAGGGCGCCGAACACAGGACGATTCTAAAACCAGTGCAGCTTCACACGAGAACTACACAACTTTCCCAACGTGCGAGCTCATCAGTTAAATTTTAACGTGAGCTCATGTTCACACCCACGTCGAGGATGGGACCATACGAATTGGCCGATATGAATCGATACCATTTCGCCACCTTTCTGCTGGGTTTCTAATGTTACTCTTTGTGTTTACTCATTAGCGAATCAACCAGGGGCAAATGGCTGGGCGTCGGGCAGGGAAAGCACTAAGTAGTATAGTAAAGCTGGTTTCTTTTTTGGTGAATTAGTCCACCAAGCGACAGAGAAATCAACAAAGACACAGCCACTATTGCTGGTGGGAAGCGTATAAAGATAAAAACAAACAACATGATTAGTTACTAAGATGTTTATGCGGCTCGCATCATGCCCGTCAAGATCGACACGTACGTGTTCTACAGAAAGAGAAAAAAAACTGTTATCAATGAGAACAGCACTTACGAATCAAAGATGGGGAAAAAGTAGAATGGATGGAATCAGTCGATTTCAACTCTCACAGCGCGCAGTGAAAAAAGAGGAGTGGATTAAAAACGCCAGCCACATGAAAGCCGGCGATTACCTACTATGGGAGTTGCAAAAAAGGAATCTAATTTACCGGTGATTTTAGTATATTGAAGAGCAGCTCGCCAATTGTCCTCCCGCTGACATTATACAAACCACGAGCTCGATAGGCGTCTCTGAAACTATGTAAGTGAGACGATTCATTAATGTCAATAGTTAGCCTTCAACCGTTTAAAAGTGAGATGGTCGGGCTGGAGCGCTTTTAATTGAATTGCAGAGAGTGATCTTTTCCTAGATAAATCTGGTACTAATTTCACAACCCAGGAGCGATGAGATTCTTGATTGGCTCGGAGCGAAACTGAACTAGTACCATGCCCGTGATGACGGACATCACTACCACTATAGTACCCGCACCCTATTATAAATATATGAAATTCATAAATTCAAAAGCGTCCAAACAACACTTTTTCATTAAAAAAATAAGCAAAGTTGTTGGAATGAAACAAGGAAAAATACTATCACACAGATGTTGGCAATAATTTTATAAGTAGAAGAATCAGAAAAAAAATATGCTCCCTGCTTACCGATATTTTTCCACAATCATGTGGCACGGATGCTGGTTTTCGGACCGTATCGAAATTACACAGTAATCCCCAGAACCTATTGAGATGCAAAAATCACCTGAAAACCAAGTTTTGCACGTCGTTCAACATTTACGGTGATTTCTTCTAAGTGCAAGACGTTTCATAAAAACCAGTCCAAAAAGTGGCAAGAAATCTTACCCGCTTTACCACCTCTACTGAGCATGAACCCGATGAAGTCCTTCGGAATGTTTCCTATGTTAACCTTATTGACATCTAACTGGAAAAAAACTATTGATTCGTCCGAAATAATTCTTTCATTTCCATATGGATTTATAAAGTGTGAAAAGAATGGGAGACGGAAATGCATACTGTGGTTATTCTCTACTGAACAATCTCTACTGAAGATCTCATCGGCTTCTCAACAGCTCGGCGGCTCGAAGAACACAATACAAACCGTCCCAGACTGATCGAACAGTAGAAAAATATTGAGTAAAAGAACAATTTCTTCACAACAACCTACATCACACGCACCAAGCTGTGAGGACCCCAGTGTCGTTCGTACGAGTGATTTTCTCGTATCGATTATACACGAACGTCTTTGATTTATGTGTCCGTGCGGCTGATGCATGGGAACATTTAACCTTCTTCTCGGATGGCATCGATTGTTGGTCGAGACGACTCTCCTTGGAATACTCTGAGAGCTGGTGCTAAGCTGTTCGCATGACCTCATAACAGACAGTCTCCAACCTTTATGCATTGGATACAGCATTTCTCAGACAACCTTGGCACCATGTTCTTGATCTCGGAGGGATGAGAGCTATCGTTAGCAAACAACAGGTTCAAAGTGTCTCTTTGCGTGGACTGAACAACATCTCTACCATTACGCTCACCTTGTCCCAACAAAAGCGACGTTAGAAATCTATTGTGTTAAAATTGTTTTCTGCTGATAAAACATTAATTAGTTCCACAGATCAATACATTATCAGTGATTTGGGAATATTACCACAATGATTCCATACACACGAAACCTTCTTAATCAAAGAGGGAGTAAGACCAAAAATCACTGCTTAATAGGTAAACGAGTAGTCGTTAAAACTCAATCTTTATTGAAACGTGGCCTAACACTCCACTTATAAAAATGTTCCCTCCAAAACATGTTCGTAATAGAAACAAACTCCGCTCACCGTAAGGAGGTCTTTCTCAAATTCCTCATCGTCGCTACTCGCCACCTCCACATTGTATCCCACATTTTCTGGCATTTTTAAAGGTTGTATCTAAAATCTTTGCAAATGGTCTCGTTATTAATGATTACTAACTGATAATTCCAAAATAGCTTTCATAGAATGATTAACAATCTCATTAACACCACGTAGATGACACCAATGACAAGCAATGAGTAGATTATGCTGACTTGAAGAATTCCCGATTATTATGAGGTAGACTGCTGAAGATGGACAAAACTCAAATAATGTTGCTGTAGGTTATTTTCCTATGAAGTCACCTCTAATCAGCTGTATCACCGAAACGAAATGAAAAACAACTCATCAAAAACTGGACTTGTTCAATCGAATGAACTAGAGCTTCGAAAGGTAGTTTTAATGTTAACTTGGTAAAGAATTTCATTCAATGAGGAATGTCTGGCTTCTTGGTCGCGGAAATACTTGCCGCGTTACCATTTGGCGGATAAGAGATTAAATAAGATCTAAAAGAAAGTTTTCACTTGCTCTACGGCATAGGTGAATTCAAGAATGGTCTCACCGCTTCCGGTTTACAGGATATACATCTACTTTTTGTATGCTTATATAAGGACGTATGAGCACGAAGGGACGTGTTACACAGTGCTCGGATGCACCCTGCACTACACATGGAATCGCTCTCCGATACAGTCTCATCAAGGTTTCCACTCCTCTGAGGCCAGCAAATTGGTACCAGAGCTGTCTGGGANGCACTCTCTAGACGCATCGGTAGGCCAAGGCGAGTCATTGTAAACGCCAGGTATGCATTCGATCACCTGCAACGATGGTTAATGAAGTCGAATGCATGGCGCATCCCTCAGGAACTGATCAACGCCGAGAGCTTTATCCTTTACCCTTTACGAGTACGAACATGCTGCTAAAAATTCAGCAGCATTTCAAGTTTCCTAAATCAGGAAAGGACTATGGCAGATATCTGTTATAGTACAAATTACGAACAACATTTTTCAACAACATTCTCGAGGACTTCACGGTGTATGCGAAGAAGATTAGTTGCTACAGTGGCCGAAAAGACGAAAAAAAAAAGCCAATTTTGGCCGATTGCCTTAAAAATAAAAAGAGATGAAACCAATGTCTATGGCTGAAAAGACGGCCTCAATACTCGCACTGGACATTTTGACACCATGCTCTTCAAACAACAAGCGTTGACGGAGGTGAGGTAGGAGCACTTTCTATTGAATCCGGGAAGAGATTAATACGACGAAGTAGACCAAATCGCAATGTATTAAAAACCTGATAATACCCCGACAAGAAAAAGCTGGTGATTGATTGACGTGTGAAGACCGCCACCAAATATCAAATGTACTCTAATTGAGATTTGCGCACATTATCAGCTAACTACTTGTAAGGTTCCCTCATCGAAAACAGCGATAGAATACATGGTTTACTTCTACAACACCTCAAGAGTGCCGAGAAACAAATAGCTCGAAAATTAAGCGATCGTGAAGAAATGCTAGCTTTGGGACGCTAGACCAATTCGTATGTCCATCGCAGATTTGTTTCCGATTATACGCAATTCTGACAGAGGAGTAAAAAAAGGAACTTCCTACCTGGATTTCTGAACTTCACTAGCATCGCAGACCTCAACAAATACTGCATTCGCTTCTTTCTCGTAAAATCGTTGACCAAAGTGGTGGAATGCTACGAAAATGTTGGTGTCTGCGAGGCACAGTGCGAAAAGTGAAATCATTTCCATCTACGGATGCAGGTATTTCACGTAAGCGAACATGTCCGCAAATCCTCTCTATGGTTGCCATTCTCTTGGAGTCCACTCCACCGCTCTTTTCATCTGTCATTTATTCTTCCTACCATGTGACACGCCCAAATATGATTCGATATCGATGTATGTTCTCCTGATTACCCAAGATGAGATAAGCTTCGTAGGCCAGAGAAGTGCATTTCGTCAATAAGCTGTGAGTACCGTGCATGGTGCGCAAATTTCATGATGTCGTTGAAGCATCAGTCCTCGCCTCTGAAGCTTAACGGCACTATGACTGCTGAGTTTGCGCCCGCTAGTTAGTCGGTGACTTCTTTCAAAAGCCCGAACGCTGGCCACGCTGCATTCATTGGGCCATTTACTATCTCGTCCATGTTGTTCTTCATGCTCACTGGACGTCTAAAGTACACGAACAAGCCGCTCTCTGGAATCAGAGACCTACAAAGTTTGTTCTGCTCCCCTTCGCACTGTTGGCTTTCCATGAAGTGGGTCTTCTACCGATTTATGAGCAGTCAGGTCTTTTCCCGCTTCGTTGAGCTCATAGACCATCATCTCTGCTACGCTGGTATTTCTTGAGATGACGACGTCTTCTAAGAAACGAAGGCTTTGATAGGAATTTCCCACCAATATGTATATCTTACTAATCCCAATCGAGTGTCTCCATTATCCAATGCAATGAGGCACCAAATAACTTTGGCGATACGCTGTTGCCATGTTGAATCCCTTTTCCTATATGCATGTTAAGAAGTGGCAGAAAATCTCCATCTTCGTGGATCCAATTTCGATAACAGTTAGTTAAAGTTGTTCTTTAGTATTAGTCCACTCCATAGTCGACGATGGCTAGTAGAATCACACAGGTCTTCACAATGTCAAACACTTTTACGCAGTTGGTACACTTTAGACCGAGGGATACACGGTGCCTTCGAGAGATTTTCATGTCATTTAAAACGGTTTTGATCGGGTCCACGCAGTAAAATCTCTGTCGGAATTCTGCTTGCTACCACGGTTGTGCTTCATCTAAGGTCTCTAATATAATCAGAAAGGTTATTTTCATGAGCATTTGGCAGAGCACAATCAACAAGTATTTCGGACTATAGTTACAAAGAACCACTCGGCCACCCTTCTTTGGTAGGATAACCGTGTGCGACATGCTACACTTACCCTGGATTCCCTCCTTCTGAAGGAAAAATGTCGTATGATTTGCGAGAGGCAAATGTCATTTGTCGCCTCCAGCCTAAAGCGATTCGTGAGCGTAGCTCGAAGTAGTTCGACGGGAAGCTCCTATTTTTTCATTATTATACCTTTTGCTTTATTTTACTATGTGAGGAGCTTTTAAAAACCCCTTTGATCATTAACTCTAGTTCCATGTACTAATAATCCACCTATCACAGAAGGTATACAAGGTTACAGCCTGCATCTTCTTCTCGTCCTATCATTTCACGCAGAAGTCAACGCCAAAAACTGCGTTGTGGTAAATACGTACAAATTAAAGCATTCCACTTCAAACTAGTGATAATTCGGTGCCGAGGACAGAATCGAAGACCTAATTTCAACCGGCAACTGCTACATTTCTGGTGCACTGTCCTAAGCACTGCTAACCACTGTTTTGGTGCATTGGCCGAACTGAACTAGCAAAGGCGTAAAACAATAAATCTCAAGGTGGGAAACCATGAAAAGAGTGGGCAGCACGTTTACATTCATTACACGATGACATCGTCAATATCCCCACATGAAGAGGGTTATAGCAAGAGCCGTTAACGGTCTCTTAGCAACTCTAAGTGATAGTGATACGTGCCAACCACCTTGATCTCTCAAGTTAGCCGCACTCATTGTTTTGATACGCTAAGAAAAACAAACAAAAATTCAATACTCGAGATTGAGTTCGAAATGAACACCCTCAGGGCAGCATCGAACAACTATAACGCAACAGCGGACTGCTCTGCACAAAACATCCCCTTAATGAAAAGTAGTCGAAGGCCAGTTGATCCATACAACAAAAAATTATTCAACTGCTTGACAGAGCGACATGGCAGCTTTCTCAGCTTTCATAACTAAACTGCTTGTTGGACGATACAAAGCCCAACCTTCCCAAATGACATAGATCTCTAGCCACCAGCAACAAAGTTGAAGCCTATTTTTATTTCGAAATTCGCAGAAGAATATAAGACTGCGAGATATTCTGGAAAGCACAATGTTTTAGCTTTTATCTGCTGCCTATTCTCTTTTCAAGGAAGGTCACTATTTGAAATACAACCAGAAGGTTATAGATATACGAGGAAAACTCGGCACCTCAAGTGGTCGTCGAACTCGAGATTACCCTTTCGTGATGGAGAACGGTGCTTAAAAAACATTTGTTAACACGGCAGGCTGCCAATGCTTTCCGATATGTGACTGACGGGTGCGCTGTTTATTTACCTGTTATAAGGAGACTTATGAATCTTTACTTATGCTCTGTGTTATTTCGTCCCTAACGTATTTTCATCAACTTTATATTTTTGCAAGATACTAAAAATTGTTTTCAGTAGTTTGAAACTCCATAACAAACTATTCCTTACAATGACTTCATTCTGACCCATTGATGGGAGGCGTTTGAAAACTCCTTGCTGGCAGTATGTTCATTCGCAAGGAAAGATATTGCCCTTGAACCAAATTGTCCCACGGTCCAAGTTCGATATGGACCCTTTCGGAGGAAGAATGTCAGGTGACTCGTTTATGTTTACTTGCTGTTTCCTAGAAGTTTTCGCAATCGAATAACTCGAAGCCATACGTGAATCTTTAGTTGGATACTTGGATCGCCGGCCTTCACTGGTTGTGCGAGCCCCAGCATAACTTCCGCTTTATCGGAGTTATGCTGGTCTCTTCATTGTAGTTTTCTAGAGTCCCAAGGTCAGTTTGGCCAAAGTTTGCCCTAAGTCTTCACCACTACAGGCAGTCGCCGGCCTTTGCGGATCAGAGGGAGCTTTGCTGCAATGCGACTAGTTTCATACCAGAACGGTGGTAGATCCTGTTATTGGTTTACTTCTAGATAGGCTTCCTGATGGAAATACCGGACTCCTTCTCAGCTTGGGAGGCCCTGGCGTAGGGACAAATCCCCACTATACATCGCAGCCCGACACCCAGAAACACCACCCAGCCACGATGAGGCGGTAAACCGTTGGGAAGGAGGTGAAGTGACACGCATCACTATTAAAAACTCGCCGAAAGAAAGACTAGCCAAGAGGCTTGGTTGGCGTGTTGGATAACATGTGAACCCAGGAAAGGGTTATTGCAGGTTCGAACTAAGCTCGGG